AGAGATAGAACTCAATGCTTCGTAAAATTGCATTAAACACAAATAAAACCGTATAACAGAAATTAATATTTTCATTTAACATTTACATTAATATTTATATTAATATTTTCATATAATATAATTAATACTATCAATAAAAAATCCCTTCAACCACCGTCGAGTTAATATTTCTTTATTCAGATAAATTTTTAAAAGTTCTATTGTTTATTCAACAAAAGAAAAACATCTAAGTTTATAGTAAAATTTAATAAAACGTGACAGTCACTATTTTTTAATAGAATTCAGACCACACAATTATTCACGAGAACGTACGTTAAGAAAAGTTTTGCACGTCATATTTGATCGTGGATTTGAATTCGTCTGAAATTACCGTCCATTTTTTTTCACTCGGCAGACGGAATCACATATTTTTTAAAAGTGTACAATCTTTACGTCTCAATTTATTAATTACGTGGCTATTGTTATTCAAAGTTGGGGAGAATTTCGCGTCGGTGGCGCGCGGAGGTCTTATTGTTATTCAACGGAGCACCGGTTCCACGGTGAAATCGCACCGCGTGATTAGTATCCCCTACCCCTTTTCCTCTTCCAGATAAAGAGGGAGTTTATCTGTGCGGTGCGGGGCCTCAATAAATTCAAGTCGAGTCGCTCTTTATCGTCGGCCGATTATCGCGAGCTCCGACCGGGAGACTTCCTTTACCTCTATCGCGCGTTGGTTGCAACTGTGGCAGGAATTAACGGCGAAAATACTGATCAATCGCATCAACGAGAAGGAAAATATCGTTGTGAAAATCACCACTTCTATAGAAACATGAATCTATTTTTGAAATTGGTACAGATTAACACGTTATTTCCCGGCAGCTATTAATGCTGGAACCACCGCACCTGTCAAACAGACGGTTTCCAGTTTTCTTATTCCGCAACTATTGATATCTTAACAACGTTAAATATCTGAAATAATTTTTTGAATAAATAGTTTCTCCTGAATATTGTAATGAATATGTGAAGAAAGCGAAACAAATTTATTTTTACAATTCTTATAAGGATTACATATTGTTTAGTAGTTTTTCTTAATAGTTACAGAATATCACTTAAAAGTTCAAAATGATTTCGTAGTTAATTATGTGTGACTTATGGACTTTTCATTGCGAGTCGCATATGCAGTCGATTGAAATTACATTAAACGATTTAAACTACGATCAACGTGATACTAGGATACAGTCACAACTAAGTAACAGGTTATTTTACATGCAAAAATGAGCGGAACATGTGAAATACAATGTCATCGATCGTCGCCACATGTTCGAAATAATCGACTTCGATAGTTTATCAATGTTTCCCGCGGAAATATGTTATTCTACGTTTCCCATTACCTTTACATGTAAAATGACCTGTTGTCAATATGTAGCGTATATCGTCGATGCATCACTTTTTAACAGATAAAACATCGAAAATATGATTTTAAACATTATTTCCGACTGTTTGTTAAAATGCACGCGTGATTTCAAAGTCTGGTTAAAATTTTAATATTTCTTTCATATCGTTCTCCAAATGAAAATCATGGATAAAGGACAACGAAAATCAGATAATATTCTTTCTTTTGCTGTAATTATTATATAAACATTCATAAACGACATGTTAAGCAGGGATTATTCTAGAAACATCTTTTAGGGATAAAAATTTTACGAAAATTCGTAATAGACTTTTTCCGGAAAAATAATTAGACGAAACACCGTAAAGCGTATATTCAGAGAAAAAGCTCGCAAAATTATTCAGAGGGTTTTTCACGAACGGAAAAGGGAGAGGCGAAGATTATAATTAACGTGGCGATTCCCGGGAAAAAGCAGAGTGCAGGATGGATTCCGTTTCGGTTTCGTTTGCGGTCTATTACCGCTTTCCCACGGAGCGGTACGCGAAAAATCACGTACGTCGATGACCAGCCAGTTCGAGAGCTCGGCTGGTTTCATATCGAAATTCTCCTCTCCGTGTATATTTTACTCTTTTCCTTTTTCCGTTTTTTAAAGCGTCACTGTTGCGAATTATGTAACAATCCGAGGGACGTTGATTAAATATAAATTGTATACTATCGAAGAACGCCTCGCTGTATAGCTGGGGTTGACATTAATGACGTAAACAGCCTACGGTGCTGTTACTTAGGGGTAGATACCATTTTGATTCCATTTACGCGTCGGTGCTTGCCTCGTATCGCTCGGCAAAGGGTCACGGAACGATATAGACGGCCATTAGACAATTTTTTGAGTTTTACTAACAATAGGCAGATATAATTGCAAAAGAAATGAAATTGAAGCTAATTATATAACTTCTCGAAGAAGGAAATGATTACAGTGAAATAATTGAAAGTGTATATGTAAAAATTGTCACGTTTTATCGAGTAAGTTGTTTTAAATTCCTGGCAATTTTCTAATATATAATCGTCTCGTACAAAACCTCCACGTTTTCCATATTTTTTATTGAAGAAATAAAAAATCTTGTTTCTCGGAAGAGACCGATGTTCTCTAAAAATGATTATTCATCGTAAAAACCAAGCAAATATCAAACTCACGATATCAAAAATTGATTTATTGTCGAAACTTGGATCCTTCTTCAATGATCCTCAAAATTCATACATATGTTTGCAAACATATAGTCTTCGGAACAAAAAGTTTCACGATTGTTTTCTTTTTGTTTCTATCCTAATCAATCGTTCAATAATCAAGAAAAGTATTTAATAATGAAACCAAAAGGAAATATTTATATTATTAATATTCTCCATTTCAAAACCACAAAAACCTAATCACCGAACAATACAAAAAATTCAAACAGTATTCAAAGGATAAGATCAAACACCACTCACCTATCAATTATTCTCACTTTTCACACTATTTTCCGCGGAGTATAAATTTTCTCAGCAAATCGAACAGCTAAAGAACTCTCCCGCTATCGGCGAGCACTCGACTGTCTCCAAACTGCGGAAACTCGTTGGCGGCTATCGACACGTCGCGTAATCTAAATTTTCCTGCCCCTCCGGCGACAACAGGAAAAGTGAAGCAACTGTTAACAGTTCTCTGTGCTACGGTTAACGAATAAATCGCCATAATTTACGGCGAAACTGAAGAAACATGGACGACCCCTGAATTCACACACGAATCATGCGATAAATCAGTCTTCGACAGTTTAAATGAATGAAAATTCATTTATATATATATATATGATTGTATTTTGCAGTATTGTTTTCAAATATTTGTTCTTGAATTTTCATATATATATATATATCCTTGGATATATATATATATAT